AGTTTCTCTTTGGCTGTTACAATAGTGTTTATAAAGCACATACGTGATGGCAAGGAACTTATGGTAAAATAATTTCATGCGTCTGAGTCTCTGGTTGCAAAATCTGTAGTTCTTTTATGTGTTTTATATTATTGCAGTTCTACGATACTACGTGACAATGTGAGAAAATTGTATAAACCACTTTTAGAGTTATGGGTTGTAAAGAGGTTTCAATTCTGTCACTCATAGACATGAAGAATCAGCATGTGAATCTCAGCAATGGTGACAAAATATTCTGATAATTTTGATATGATTTTTGAACATCACAAAACAGGGCAGTAAAAAGTCACAACAAACATAAAAGCAAATAGTAAGAATAAAAGAAAATACTAAGCAATACAATGCAGCTGCATAATTTATTCATGTCGCAATGCATGCTGGGAGCCATGGATGAGTTATGATTGGTGCACCATTGTTGAGAAAAAGTGCTGTATGGCACCTCTTATGGTTCTACATGGCCCCATTTGACAAAGGTGCTATATAGCACCTGTAAAAATAGGTGCTAAATAGCACTAAAAGTGGTTCCCCTATGATTACGAGCCAAAGAACCGCTTTTAGTGCTATATAGCACCATTTTTTTTAGAGTGTAGGGCAATTCATATTTTTAACAGCTGAAAACTGAAAAAAGCATAATCTTTCAACATATATTTCTTAATTTATGTTAAGATAATACAGTTATCAAATAATTTTTTTCCCCCCCTTCATACAGTATTTGCTCTCTCATCAGCAATAAATAATAGATTCAACTCAAAGAATTTCTGAAACACTGAATGTGTTTTAAGCTAATAGTTTGAGACATCATTTGTATATTATACAATGTATATGCAATTAAAATTAATTTCAAAATCAATAACAACGTTTGTAAGTTCGTAAGCTGCTCCCCAAAATAATTATATATCAAGAAGCCCACATTTTGTTCAGTGTAAAGGGTGACCCTCAGAATAAACGGAAGAACCGATCTTACCTCCTCCATTTTTATAACACAGGTAGGGGAACCTCCACACATTGGCCAGGTCCACAGCGAAGCCTATGACCGAGAGCAGAAAGTCCATTTTCTTGCCCCAGGTCTCTCTGGCCACATCCTCAGCGGAGCCGGGGGTGCAGCCGCGGGAGCTCGGAGAAGCCACGACAGAGGAGTTCGTGTACTGGACCCCGTTCTGCTCCTTCACCAGGATCAGCTCCACTTCCTTTTTCTCCACGTTAAACTGTTTCAACGGGGCCACCGAGGACAGTTTATGCTCAGGCAGGACTTGGATGTTCATCTTTGCGCTCTGGCGCTCTCGTGGCCCCGAGGATGTGGAGCAAGTGAGGTGCGTGCCGCTCGAACTGACGATGATGATGCTGATGATGCTGCTGCTGAGGATGATGATGATGATGATGATGAATAGGAAACGCTACAGCAGTTGCTCTCCCGGCGAGGTAGATTGTTGCCCAGTCTTCATCAGCTGAAAGAGAGGAGAGATGAAAGTTTACTGTTACTGTGAGATATTAAAAGCATCCCATGCACCATTACTGTTAACCAACCGAGCGCGCAAAACCATTTACAATGAATGTGCGAAAGCGGTCTGTAACGGTCAACGAGGAAAAGAAAACTTTACGGTGACAATCACTCGGCATTTTCCGCTGGACGCAACATCATTTATGGAGTAACTGTATATGTCTGCATAAAGTGTCGCTTTTCGAGTCTGTAATATTTAAAGATGACTCTGTACTTGTCAGCATGAGGGGGTCCCTCCATGATCCGTCCCTTCTGCTTGATCCAGAAAATGAGAGACTGCTGCTTCTCATTAAGTTTTACTTTCCCCTCCCTTCCAGCTGGAGACTATAAATTCTGAGCATTTAAACCAACATCCAGTTTCTCCACACGTGATATTTTCTATATGATCATCTTCATCCTCGTCTTCTTAATGTTTTTTGAAGCTTCCTCTCCGCCCCGAATGTCACAGTCATCTTCAGTCACGCGCTGCGCCAACGCTGGACTTAAAAAAATGAAGCACATTACGAGATGGGTTTTTTTATTTAAGTTTTTCATAAATAGTTTTGTAATTAAGGGAAAAAAGCGCAGGATAACATTACTGAATTGTTAGTAAAGCAATGTAAATTCAGTGTGTAAAGTAATGAGTAAACAGAATATAGCCTATTCTATTCTGTTTACTCGTTCTGTTTACTTATTATTACAACAGAATAGAATAATTGGACGTTTGTTCAAAGTTACATGCTCTTTAATAATGTTCTCAAAATAACAGCTCAAAATAAAAGTGATTTTTTTTTTCATGGAACTTTTTTTTTCTTTCCTGAAACGATTTAGTTGAATGTTCGTCTAACGTTTTTAAACGTTAGCCTACTACTTTTTCAGATCGTTCATTCAAAAGTAGGCTAACATTCTCGTAATGTTTGCAAAATTATAAGATGGAACGTTCCCTTAATGTTTTCCCTAATGTTTGCATAAACGAGAAAAAAAGTGCTTTTGAGTGTTAAGAGATCATTCAGAAATAAAGTTTTCATAAATTAATGGGAACGTTAGCAAAACGTTCTTAGAACGTATCTTTAGCTGATGACGCCCCTTAAATAACTCTTATCATTTTTTTTTCTTTTTTGGTTATTTGCTGGTAATATGTAGGGTGAATCCATCAGATAAAGTGGGCCGTTTACGCTTGATTGTACTGTGCTCAAAGGGTTTACACTTTCAGAGCATAACAATGGTTCTTAATTAAAGGGACCTTATTTCTCTAAACGATAAAATAGTTTTGGTTGATGCAATATGACACTGGTGGGTGTGGCTACCCCTCAAAGGAGGACTGTGTCATGGTGAAAGGTAAAAAACCATTTGACATAAGATTTTTTACTTGTAACTTATAAGGTTGCTCACTAAATGTAAACAAACATTATTGTGACAGTTTCTGTTTTATTCAATGCTACCATTAACAGGGAATAAAATGCAAAGAATACATTTTTTAAAACATTGTTATTTTTCTTGTAAGGTGTTTAAATATTGCTGGCCCACTTTGGCTGAATGTGTTAGATTCAGGTAAAGTGGGCCGACCTTTTTAACCTTCAGTAATTATACCCAAATTCATTAAATAAATTGACATTTATAATTTACTTATTTAGAAAACAGAAATGAGACTGCAGTCAGAAATTCAAGTCAGAGATGGAGAAAGGAAAGAGAGAATAGAAAGGAAGTTGAGGCATGAATTTCAATATGTGGAGTGAAGAAAGGATGAGAGGAGAAAAATATAGATGTAGAATATAAATCTTTAAAATATGGACACAAGTAAAAAATGTTTAAAATGTTTAGAGAGCATATACAGAATTTTTTTTTTAGTTTTTTTTTTACATATGGTTACCATTTTAAATGTTCCTCTTATTAATGTTTTTAGCCTATTTGTTGTTGCTTGTGTTATAGTCTCATCTTTAATATATTGTAGAGTTCATTTTTTATCAATATTCTGATTTCTGAATATTCTGATATTCAGATTTAATCAAATTTAATGTCAACACAACATGTTCTTTCAAAAAAAAGATTGTAAAAATACGCCCCCTTTAAAAAAAAAAAAAAAAAAAAAAAATTTTTTGCTCAATGGGGGGGGGGGGGGGGGGGGTTGTTAAATATGTTGTTAAATATGTTTGTCTGATCATAATAAATCATGTGTTTTTAATTAAGATGCAGAATAATCTTTGATAAATAAGGGATGGCCCACTTTACCAGACCAACTGGCCCACTTTACCTGAAAAGAAATTTGGAGTACATGACCTCAAAATGTTTATTGGTATATATCTTGCAAATAACACTTTATATGAACTGTATTCAAATTGAAATATTATAGCTGGACCTTAAAGTTAACAAAAGTAATAAACAAAAGAAAAAGAAAAAAACATCTAGGAATCTAAATGACACGTTTTACAAACAGTTCACCCTACATAATCTACAATAAAGCAATATATAAAGACAGCCTTAGGTTCAGACAATAAACAGTGAGATGAAGCACAAAGGTCAAAGTCAGTCAAATGGTCAAGAGAGTAAACAAGTTTTGAATAGCTTGGAAGTGCCAATATCAAATGTCACATTACTTTTGCGTCATGTGCAACCTGGAAATGCCTCAAAATCAAGCAGCATGTGCAATGTTCCACTCATAACTTGATCTGTCATTGGATGTGCCACAACTTTGTAAGATGCCACTAAATGTTAAAAATCTTCTCCCAAAGGCATGTTTGCATAGAAAAACAATTAAAAAGACATGCAGTGGAACACAGAAATGTGTTCTGTGTGAACTGGCCAATATGTTTTGACAATGTTTGTCCAAGACTGATCTGGATACAAAGCGCTTGAGGAACAAACCATTGCTGTGGTTACCTTTGCTTATGTCTGTAAGCTAAGCCTAACTAAATCTTGTAATCTACATCGTTACTAAAACATTGTGCAGTGTAAAATAAATAAATACATAAAAAAAAGTGTTGCATTGGGAGTTACTAAGATAAGGTATGTAGTGGGCCTATTCATCTGGCCATATATGATCTCAACATGTTGGGCCCCCATGTGGCGATTTGCTCCAATAAAACAGACTTTATGTCATATGAATCATCATTTTATTTAAGTGTTCAAAAATACTGCTCACTTCCCCCCTACAATTAGAAGGGCCAGATTTCCCAAATCCCTCTCTTAATTCACACCCTGTGTAATTTGTCAAGAAGGCATAAAAATAAACATATTACAGCTATGTTTGATCCATCTCCCATCACTACTACAATTTTTTTTAAAAGTCTGTTTTTATTCGCCTTTGAGTTGCCTGTTTCTTCTCTCTTCTTCTACATAGATTCAATTAGTTGTTTTCTAAGAAGCAGTAAAAGCATTGTGTTCCACATGTAATCTAATTCCACACCCGCTTTAGCCAAAGGCGACGATGTCTATTAGATATGGGCAATCAGTTCATCCCATTAAAGTCAATGAATGTCCCCTTAAAGCTCTCCAGCGTTTCTTTTATGAAACCTTTACAGGCCTGTTTTTGTGCAGTTTTGTACATATTCTGGTTCAGATTAGATAACAAAACTAAGCAACAGGGTTTTAGAGGCTGATTTATTTGTTCCTTAACACACATTCTTCCTCCAAAGGAACTGGAATCTCTCATTTCTATTTCAGGATGTTGCCATACATGTGGGAGAGGGTGATGCTAAAGAAGGTCACCTTTAGAGCAAAGCAACCTTTCCTTGAAGCATGAAGGATATTTGCAATGTTCTGCATCAATATTGCAATTAGTCTCCATTTGACAGGAGTAAGCACTGGTATTCAGGGTAAAATTCATAAATATTCTTTTTTTTTTTATGCAGACAGTGCCAGGGCTCACAGTAAAATGTCACTTATTGCACCAAATAAGGACCTTGATGTCAAGACATTAGTATTCTTGAATTCCCCTAATTATGCCGTTTTCAGTTCTGTGGCTGATCAATATCTCGAATATGGGGTCATGTGTGTCATTCAGGACAAGACTGATGAGCTAGGATCAGTTTTGCCCTTTACATTTTCTAATGATTGTATTTACATGTAGTTTGGATATAATCTTGGATCAATAAACCTACTCTTCAGTGTTTTACAAAGCATGTATTGACCATTAAACACATGTACACATTAATTTAGTGTATTTTGTCATTTTGGTTTTGCTATAAAACCCACAGTATACAACAGAAATTGTGACAAAAAATATTAGGACACCAAAATGTTAAGATAATGAATCTTGATGTTGTATACACTTTTACAGCACAAATTTAGTATGACTTAAAAGAAGTCAACAATTGTATTGGTGCTTTTCTAATCCTTATTAATCATGGTCAGATTGAAATTACAGATGTTGAATCGAGATACATTCATTTATTTCTAAATTCCATACCAAAGATTTTTGTAGATGCCAGTCATTTAGCCATATAGTTTGGCAAAGAATTCCTACATTAGCAGTAAACCACCACTCCATCACCTAATGCTGGCTAAATCTATCCTGGTTAACATCAGGAGCTCTTTTGTATACAGTAGCCTATTTCAGCATGAGATCAATCCTAATCCCAATGTTGACGTACATTGCTCTAGTTCACACTACAGTTGTGTTGTAGAAGATCTGTAATTAAATGAGTTGCCAGACTTGTTGACAGTTGTTTTGGGACCTGTTTTTCAGAGTATTAATTAAGTTATGAGTAATATTTTTTGTTCATTAAGAGTGCAGAGGCATGCATGATAGTTTTAGGCAGAATGAACAATTCACTCACAATAAAACTATTCTTGCCTACAAAACCCAGCAGCATACAGCTTTCAATTGAACTAAACATCAGTATTAATTGATCTGTGTCACAACTGTCATGAAGAACTTCCTTATATCCAATTTCCTCATCATCAAACATGTTATTTCTGTCACATTGTGACTCATAGTAACGCAGTTTAAAAGCTGTAGCTTTACACAACACATAATTCTAATACATTTCAAATAAATGCAGCTTTTCTTAACTTTCTATACAGTATATCAAAGAACTGTGAAGAAATAGGCTATATCACGGTTTCCCTAAAAACATGAAGCAGCACAATCATTTTCATCTAAGATAGTAAGAAATGTTTCTCGAGCACCAAATAAGCAATATTAGAATGATGTCTGAAAGATCATGTGACACTGAAGACTGGAGTAATGCCTGCTGAAAATTCAGCTTTGCACTCACAGGAATAAATTACATTTTAAAATATATTAAAATAGAAAACTGTTATTATTTTACATTGCAATAATATCACAGTATTACTGTTTTTACTCTATTTGTGATCTAATAAACACATCCTTTAGTGAGCACAAGACGTCTTTCAAAAGCATAAAAAAATATTT